AAAAAGGACCTAACCCTAACCCTAGCGGGCTTCGGGCTAAACGGGCTATGCGGGCTATGGCTATAATAATAATAATAATAATAATAATAATAATAATAATAATAATAACAATAATAATATATAAAAAATAAAAAATAAAAAGAGTAAAAATTATAAAAAAAATAACAACGGCTAGTTAAAAATTGTTTTCAACGGCTATTTAGTAATTACCGTCTATCACTATGTTTCATGTCTTTCTTATTAGTCGTTCTGATTGGCTTAAATATTTGGTATGAAGTACAATAACAATATTGTTAATAATTATCTTTCAAAATCATAATAATGCATTACAAATCGTACTTACATGTGAATTGGAATATCAAAATTGTAATATACAAGAAATCTAAGAGCATATTACTTACTCGATGCAAACATTTACACCGCCCAACCCTAGTTAAACGGGCCAGCCCTAGCGGGTTTCGGGCTAGCCCTAGCGGGCTTCGGGCTAAACGGTCCGGGCCTAAAAAGCCCTGATTTAAACGGGCTACTAATAAAAGGACCTAACCCTCTTTTTTTCCGGGCTAAACGGGCCGGCCCGTCGGGCCAAAGACCATTTAACATCTCTAACAACTCATGACAGATAGGTAGCAGGGTCGTAGCTACGACTTTAGGACGTAAGAGTCTCGTGGTAAGAAGGTGACATAGTTCTCTTTCCTACCACGACTCTCTTCGACATCAAGGTACCCTATTATATAAGGGTGACCATGTTCTTGTTTTACATATCTTGTATATACGTACACTTGAGCATGCATATTGTCAGTTTTCTCCCGAGTAGATAGTGATTTGAGCTTCAGAAGTTTTTCTCCAAGACTTCTCCCAAACTTTTAGTAGGTCATCGAAGCTAAAGGTCAACGTCCGTTCGTGGTCCTCTAATTCAAGGTGAAGTTGAACCTCACTTTAAATTATGAAAACTGAAATCTTATGCTTACAATGTAATTGAAATTAAAATTAAATTTATTTAAATTGAGAGAGAGAGGCTCGGAATCCTTGTGTCGACATAGCATCCATCCGCAAGAACATGTTTAATACTAACACTTGGACATAACAGCTGTCAAAGGCACTCGTGAGTCGTGCAATAAAAAAAATGACTACTTTTAGAAATATTCGTCTGCAAAGTAGTGTTGAATTTATGCACGTGATAGTTGCAAATCCAATACGGGAAGAAAAACACATACATTGTATGTTATGCCTGTTAAGTCACTAATTTTGACAAAGAGGCAGCAACCTCATTTCTTTGACAGCAGGACAAAGAATAAAAAATTAGCACCCCTCAAGTTTGACAAAAGTGGCAGCCGAGTATTGGTTCTCTTTTGTTGAAAAAATAGAGCACACGGATATGGAAAAATTGTGTTGTTCCCCTGCTATAAATAGAGGGCATCAAACACCACACAAAACACACCAAAAATACAACAATATTCAAGAAGAAAAAAAAGAGAGAGTGAGCTAAAAATAATTTAGCCTTTGTGTGTATTTTTGAGTTGTAAGTTGTGAGTAAGGTTGAGAGTGTTTTGTAAACACGAGTGTATTTCTTTTCTCCTAATAAAATATCTGCAGTAGTCCGGAGACGTAGGCATTATTGGCCGAACTCCGTTATCAAATTGGTGTGTCCAATTTTTATTTTTTTTATTTCACTTTTATAGATCCGACTTCATGGAAATTTCAGCGTATTTTTCCCAACAATGCCGCGTGAAATCTTGAAATTATTCAGCAACAAATTGCAGTAACACTTTATTAAAATTTATGCTTTGTTTTGGTTTTGTTGATTAAAATGTGTTGAATAAACAAAGATTAAAACAAAAAACAAATCCACCTACTGATTCGCAATTGTAATGTTCCTTTTTCTTTTATTTTATTTTTGAATTTTGAAGTATGATAGTGTGGCAAACGAATCTCCTTTTATTAAATGAATGACCCAAATTTTCCCAAGTGCACGAACTCCATTGGACTGGGACCTGAGAGGATACACCTTTCGGAATAAGGACCTTTCTTGGACCAAATAATATTTTTCTTGGCCAATTTTCTTTTTATTTTATTTTTTAAAATCTAATTTTGTATTAAGGCTACATCCATATTTATTCATTTAATCACAAATTACTTACTTTATCATTCACATCATTATTATTTCAATTTTAACACTCTTCCACATCTATCATTCATTTAAATGTTGTGGCCTGTGGGGTACATTGAAAAAATTAAAGTATAAAAAACTAAATACAAGTCTAATTTTGGCCCCACATTTTTGAAATGAAAGTGAATGATAAATGTGGGGCCATTTATTTTGCTATCAAACAAATGAGATACATCGGCTGAACGAAAGTTTTCAACATTCAAATGGCGAGATCTTAGACCAATGGATATGTCTTAGTTCAAATCTTAACTTATACTACTAAACTTCATTTTAGTTCCCAAATTTGTCAAATTATCCAAAATATTTACGTTTAACTTGGACTGCGATTGAATACTTCTCAGTTTGGAATGATTTTCCTCAACAATTTTTTAAATTTAAAGTTAACAATTACTGACATAATTTTCTATACAAATTTACTAATCATTCACTCAAATATAAAATACATTTATATACAACTATTAATTCATATTTAGTATTTCACATCCCAATCGATTAATTATTTATTTTTTCACTTAGCGTATTTTGCAAATAATTTGCGATATTGCCTGTCTGATCCCGATCTAGAAATAATTTGCACTTAAATGAAAGTCGATTCGCATAGTAGTATAAGATCAAGTTCCAATTAAATACTTGTACAATTACATTGAGCAAGCATGTTCAGCTTTGGTCATACTTCAATTATAAAGGTCTATTTGTTGGTGATTGCCACATTTGGGAACTTGGAAAATTCCAAAAAATATACAAATTAGCTGTGTGGATAAGCGAGAATCCTGTGACTTCAATAAAGTACTCTGCACCTATACGGTCCCCCCTTTAACCAGCATTTTATGAAATTTCATTAATGTTAATTACTTTTCTTTTCATGCAATATTTTTAATTTACTTTTCTTTTTCTCCTTTTAACTAAATACCACAGCTTATGACTCTGTTAAGCCTGTGATAACAAGACATCATGAACAAAAAGCTGATTTGATTTTAATAAACATTTAGCTTTACAAAAGCTGACCATTATTATTATAATAATAATGATAAAATATAGTATTCACTATTCCACGATTTTTTTTAAGGCATTTTCATAGAGATAATGACCATGTACACGTCACGCAAAACGACAAATTAACCCCACCTCCTGCGCCCCAACCCCGAGCCAGCTGCCAATTCACACAATCTGCGGCCCCACAATAAACCCAATCTACACTCGCCCGCACTCAATCCAAAAACCCCTCCTTCCAATTCCGATCAGACGAGCGTGGCGCACTTGGACGTCTGCGGGTCCCACATCGCCGGCAGCAGATACTTCCGCCCGTTCACGCCGTGCGCGTTGTAGCTGGCGCCGCTCGCCTCGTCCGTCAGCACGTTACCCGCGTATCCCGGGTATGCGCCCGACCCGAACACCCCCGTGCACGCCGTCACCGCCTCCAGCGGCGCCGCCGCCGACCCCTGGAAGTACCCGCTGTTGAAGGGGTTCGTCACCGCCCCGGCCAGCACTGTCGCCAGGTTGATCACCATCCCGTCCACTCCAACGTCGCCGCTCGGCGCCACCAGCGGCGGAGACTGAGGCCCGTACATCGGCTGGTGGAACGGCCACGCGCAGAAACCCGGGCACTGGCTCGCCGCGTTCCCGACCCACGCGTACGCGAATCGGGCCGGCGACCGGTTCGACCCGTGCCCGCCGCACCGGTTCATGCAGAACCCGGCGACGGCAACGTCCTCCGCCGTCAGGACGACGTTGACCGCCCCGCCGGCGTGCCCGCCCCTGGCCGCCAGGTACACGATGTGCGAGTTCTTGAGGGACTTCCCGAGGGAGTACTTCTCGTCGAGGATCTGTTTCCCGACGACGACCCTTGGCGCGCCGGCGGCGCCCTTGTACTTCTCCGTCGTCTTCCACCACGAGGCAACGGAGGGGGCCGGAGGTGCGGCGGAGTTGAGCGACCGGAGGAAATCAACGATTATGGAGCGCTGGACCGGGGTGAATTTCCCGTACCAGACGAGGTTGAGGGTGACAGTGCCCTTGAGGAGGGCGCCGTTGTGGTACTTGAGGACCAGCGGCTGCTCCTTCACGAGGGCCGCCATGGTCGAGGACAGAGAAAGGAGGAGGAAGAAGGAGACGAAGAGTGTGGAAGAACACATTTTGAATTAGAGTGGCAAAATAGTAATTTGAGGCTATTGGGTGCCCTAAGATTTTAGACTCAGAGTGAGGGAGCTTGTATTTGTGATGTGAGGTGGAGAGTGTGGTGGTATTTATATTGGGAATACAGCTAAGGGAAATGTCAACGTCGGAGCTAGTGGACGCGTGGTAAGATGTGATTGGCTGCTTTGGGATGTGTGGCCAGGCTGGAAGGTGACGCGGTCGTTCGTATGATGACGTGGAATTTTGCAATTTGCCAGATTCAAGTGGAAATTGAAACTATTTCAGGCCATCTCCAGCCCTTATCTCTACTCTAGCGCGGACTTTACTCTACTCTAGAGTAGAGTTGAACATTCATCTCCAGCCCTTATCTCTACATTTTACTCTACATTAAATATATTATTTTTTTACTCATTTTTTATTTCAAATAAATTAGTATATATGTTTATTTAATCTTATATAAAATGTTAATTACTCAAATAATAAAAATATATTTTATGTATTTTTATTTCGAAAAATTTGCTATATATATGAATATGTAATATTATATAAATGTTTATTACCCAAATAGTAAATAAAAAAAAAATTATGGTTTACACACTAGACCATATATGGTTTAGACCATATATGAATTAGTGCAAATTTACACACTAGACCATATATGGTTTAGACCATATCTTGACATTTAAAAAAAAATTGTATTAAATTGAATTTCTTAAAGAAGATACATATACATCTATGTACCGATTCAAAACTGTTACTTTTGAAAATATATGAATTACTGCAAATTTACACACTAGATCATATATGGTTTAGACCATATATGAATTAGTGCACATTTACACACTAGACCATATATGGTTTAGACCATATCTTGTGCAAATATTATTATGTATATATATGATCTTAGCCATTGATCTTTAGATAAGAATCCTACGGTTGATTCAAATTTATTAACTTTTTTATTCATTTTTATTTCAAATAAATTCTAATATATGTATATTTCATCTTATATTCATTTTTGGTGGTATTTTAATATTAAAAAAATTACAAAATAAAATTAATATACATCAATTTTTATTCATATGGTATCATTTTACTATTAAAAAATTACAAAATAAAATTATAATACATCAATAAATAAAAAGCACAAAATTATTTAACATAAAAATTACATTACACAAATTATTTAGCATAAAAAATACATTTACTAATATACATTATATAAAAATTTACCAATAATAATACACAAAAAAACAAAAAAAAAAAAATATATATATATATATAATTGTAGCGTTGCAGCTACAGTGTTGCGCCATATTGGGCGCAACATTGTTCAATTCTCTGAAGTAGCGCAAGAATTTAGCGCAGCGTTGGAGGGATTTTTTGTCCCATATCTTGAGAGATAGAGCATGGCTGGAATTACTCTCATATAAGATGTAGATACAAAAAAGTCCTTCATTTTTTTTTTTCCTTTGAAAGGTTACAAATCAATGTGATTGGCGGCTTGGGATGTGTGGCCAGGCTGGAAGGTGACGCGGTCGTTCCCGTGATGACGTGGAATTTTGCAATTTGCCAGATCCAAGTGGAGAAAGGTTACAAATCAACTGGTTTACAAAATATTTTGTGAAGGGATATTATTTTTAAATGTCCTAATTTACATGCAAAATCATTTTTGTAGACAAGCATACAAATTTGAAAAGAAACATCCTACCCTACTTTTAGTTTCAATTTTAATTGTATTTTTGTTGAAATAAAATTATGTATGTATGATTGAGGAATACATTATTAAATTTGTCAAATACGTCACATATTTCAAAAGATGCTTATCAGAATTTTCATAAAATTTAAAAAACACAATTATGCTGGAAAAAAATGTATCATCTGGGTTATTATCATCATTATTTCACGAACACTTTATTTCATTGATTATCTTATACTATGATTAGTTTTTGAAAAATATAAGCCACTGAATAGTAAAATTTTTATCAATTTAAATTATTCAAATAGATGCTCATCATAAGCTTTTTTTTCTTTCTTTGTAATATTACAGTTGCACAAAAAGTGAATATTATATTTTTTTTATTTGGTGGATAATAGAATTTTGATTTTGTAGTCTATATCAATTGCAACTTGGGGAAAAGCTTTCTATTTAGAGCCAGATTTACTATGCCGTATCTCTGTTTTTCATCTTTCTTGCAGATTTCTTTAAATACTATTGGCTAGTTTTACTTTTCACTATTTAATTTTAGGAATACAATTTCCACTTAAATTCTTTCTGCTATATAGATAATTATATCATGAAAGTTTTATAATATATCTAATTGAATCTTTAAATGTTTTTGATTTAATTTAAAGCAAACTACTACCAATAATTTCAAACAAAGCAATAGTACTTTAATAAGTATACTTCTTATCTAAGCCTATATGGATAGGCCATTTGAAAAATTAAATTGAGTTATGGACTATCCCAACTCCCAAGAGCCCCTACCTTTTTCTTTATTTTACAGTGCCATCTGGTGAGATTGGTGAACGTACACACAATCATGACAATATTTCTCCTGACATCATATTATTTATTAGATATAATAATGAATTACTTAAGGCTACATAGTAGGATGATTATTGAAACTTTTTTTATTATTTAACTATTTTCGGCCTTTTCTAGTATCTTATTAATAATTTTCTGTCTCATCCAAAAATTTGTAATTTGTTGATAATAGAAGAAGTGTTTAGATATACCAGGTCCATTTAAATTGGGGATTTCGTCAGTAGCTAGCCGTATAAATTAAATAAACATGAAAATAAAATTTTAATATGAAAATTATTTTATTTTTAAATAGTGTTTATAAATTTTTGGGAGCACTTAAAATAATGATATGGCCATGTCCCAACCTTTCAATTTATGAAACAGGTTAATTAACTATACTTTCATTATGCAGTTTATTAATATTAATAAAAGAAAAATGAATGGGTCCATAAATAGGGTTTTGATAGCATATGAGTAGGTAATGGCCCACAGGATGCTTTGGGTAATTTTCGGAGAAGAGGCTTGTTGAAGAAACCAAGAAATAGGCGGTGGGGCCCACATCTGAGAGCTTGCAAATGATGGCGTCACTTTTAGTAGCTTTAGGTTCATTGCTTCTTTCAGACTCCAATGCACCAGCTCCTCTGTTTCCCTTACTACCTTACTACTGTGCTCCCCTGTATACAATTTCATTTCAGTAAATTTTTAATTGATGAAAAAATTATTCTGATCTACAAGGGACCGTTTACTTTGAGTGATAGGACAAAATAACTAAAATTATCTCTTAATATCAGACGTTTCTCTTAAATGATTGGATAGCATTCAACTGATGTGACATACATGTGGCAGCAGGGCCCACACGCATATCATTTATTCGCTGATAATTTCCATCCCACCCTCCATTTCGGATTTTTTTTTATCCCGATTTGAATATGCCCATTTTGTCCTCATAAGGGGCTAGAAAAAATACATAAATACCTCTAAACATCCATTTATTTACAAACGTATCACATATAAATAAGTTTTTCACTGTTATTCTTGCCCTAAATCGTGCCATTCGGGAAGCAGAGGGAGATTGAACCTAGCATCGTCCACTCCGTCGCCAAGACTTGTAAGCTCTGATGTCACTTTTTTTTTTTCAAACATTTCTTGTTCATCGAACACATTTTTTTAGATTTCAAGCACTAGACTAAAAGTACCTCATGATAAATGGTTAGTAGTATCTCTTCTAACTCCTATTTGGATTCTTCTCCCAAACCTACGAATCGAACTAGCTCTCAGAAAATCTTTCTCGGTTAACCTTCTTATCGGGTGGACCTCGCCTGAAAATCTTTCGCCGCTGTTCTTCCATGCCTGAAAATCTCGGTGGACCTTGTAGTCGCAAATGAAAGAAGGTTTTGACGGAATTTTGGAAAGAGGAGATCGGATCCCGTCGTCGACGGCTGCTTTGGGTTGATTAGGGTTCGGTCTTGATGGTAATTAGTAAAGAGGGGCAAATGAATTTGGCCAACTGGGGAGTGAAGACAAGTTTTATGAAATAGAGGGTAAATTGGGGATTTAACTTTTTTTCTATAAATTTGCATGATAGTAAACATAAGACAAATTTCAGACTTTTTAATCCCTTAATGTAAACAGTAGACTAAAGGCTGACGTGTAAAGTTATCTTGATTATTTTGTCTTATCTCACCACACAAAGTAAATGAGGTCGAAATATAAATCTATTTCTCTTCTCTTATATATATAAAAAGGAAGTGTTGCCCTTCCCTGTGTGACACGTACCTCACATACTTGAAAACGCTGGATTTATGGGTCCAAAACGGCATAGTATAATTTAGACAGAAACGACGTCGTTTTGACATTAGCACGACGTCGTCTATCATTTTCCTTCCCAATTCAGTCAGATATTCACGCAAGATGCAATATAGCTAGTTTGGTCTATCAATCGCAGGCGTGCGATTTCCATGAGAATCGATTGATTTTCTTGTTTATTTTCGTCCTTCCTATAATTCAACCCTATCATTTATTTTGGCTAATTTCATCTTCCCCGACTTTTCTGCTGATTTCAATGGCGTCTTTTGGGGACGTTGAAATGTCAATCTGGGGGCCTCATTTTTGCAATCCCGACAGTAAGATTCAACTGCAAAGCGTCGATTGGGGGATTTCTCGAAATTTAACCTCTGGCGCTGAGATCAGGGAGGACGAGGGCGCGGCCTTTTTCTACAGCAGGCGAAGGAATTTCTCACAATTTAACCTCCAGCGTTGAGATCAGTGAGGGAGGACGAGGGAGCGACATCTTTCGGCGGAAGGCAAAGATAGCTCTACATGTGAATTCGATGGACAACAACAATTCACCACATTCAATCATCAAGGTACGAACCTCATCTTTCCTTCGCAACCCCAATTATTCCTTTTCTCCAATCTTAGCCCTAGATTTTGAAGGTTTTTTTTTTCTTTTGGTAGTTACTTCAATGTCATTGTATTGATTGGCCGACTATTTTTTCTTTTTATTATTCTATGTCATTGGAACCAGCTGCTAAACGGAGTTCATCTCTTTCTGCACATCCACTGAATATTCTCCATAGTGCCGGTCGTTGCGAACATAGTCATCATGGTGGACTCCTAACAGTCTTCACGGGCAATCCAAATTCCACCCTCCTGTCGTTTCCCTCTGAGTCGATTGCTGTCATCCTCGAAGCCCGCTCCAAGGTCATGTGCAGTTTCGCCTCTAGGGATGGTCAGTTGATTACGAATGAACATTTCGGAAACGATGCTTGACACCCTGCGTCCATGTGATGATAATCATGCATGTTCCAACAATTTGCATTGCCCAGTTCATGCCTCAGCTCGAACGTCTTATATTGGCTGCTTATTTTACATAATATTATAAATTTGTTGTAATTTGTACTTACAAATTACAATACGTGCATTTGCTAATTCCATAGATGCAGACACTATCTGATATGGAATAACGGTAACTGGTCGACTAGACTGGGGAAGCGATTGGACCGAACTAGATTATCCATCAGGTCGAACGGATATGAAGAGCATACATGTCGAAGGGGGAGAAGGCCGAAGAGAGAGCACTACGATCATGGAGGGTACGGTCAGGTCGAACTAAGGCACTTGGAGGGTCTGAAAAAAGTTCGAGTTGAGGGAACATCTGGTTGAGGAATCGAACAAGCGAGCGTAGTACTGGAGCTCAATACCGATGACACTATACCTTGAGGAAATCTGAGTTAGCCGTATGGTAAGACCTTGTAATATGGAGAACTAAGGGATAAGAAGGAATCTTAGGAGAATTAAACCCCCACATGTGGTAAAACCTCGTAGCACCACTTGATTGGTCCACATCTCATAACCGTCTCTGACAGTCCAGATAGCTCTAATAGTCGGGGCAGCTTATGCGCTTGTTGTTGGGGTAGCTTGTAAGCATCAGGGGTGACGGGTGCAGTCCCACGCACGTGTGAAGCGCATCATACGAGGGTGAGCCTTAGTGGCCCTTATTTGGGTTCCATCGTAAAATCAATTGGTAGTAGGAGGAATATCCTACTGGGCTTCTAAGTTAGTCTTATTTTCCCTGTATAAAATACGTGAGACAACTTACAAGTGATATTCTAACACGTCCCTTCACTTGTGAGTCCTTCATACGAGGCTCAAGCCTAACCGAGTTGGGTGATGAGTACGTCATCGCACGGTCCCATATAGAACCGGCTCTGATACCATGTAAGTATCGGGGGTGACGGGTGCAGTCCCACGCACGTGTGAAGCGCATCATACGAGGTGAGCCTTGATAGGCCTTGGTGGGGTTCCATCCTAAAACTAATTGTAGTAGGAGGAGTAGTCCTCTGGGCTATAAGTTAGACCTATTTTCCTTGTATAAATTAGGTGGGACAACTCACAAGTGATATTCTAACACAGCTCACACGTCCAACTTGGGTCATAAGGTATCATCTCCCTATATAAGGGAATGATGTATGCCTTGAATTAAATTACATTCTCTACTATACATTTTCATACAACACTTCATCTTTTTTAAATGTTAACTTAAGTATCAGAGGCTCTTCACCGGAAATCCCTCCAGTGTGAGAGATCTGTAGGTTTGAAGATGTTCAACTGACAGTTAGCTCGAGATCCAAACGTTTCTAGCTTTTACCAGCCGGTCAGAGGCCATTTGATACTAGTGTCCATACCAGAATTCGAGCAGTTGGATACGTTTCTAACCTTTACCAGTCGGTCGGAAGTCATTTGATACCAGTGTTCATACCAAAATTTGAGCAGTCAGATCACACATACGTTCACACACTCTTATAAACATATGTGCAGGTCAGACAAACACAATTCACAGCTGGAAAGTGAAATTCACCCCAACCAAAGCAATTTACATTATCCACTTTACCATTACTTTGTCATTTTCCTCTTAGAGTACAGGAAAATGGAATTAACGCGTCGACTTTTGGTTTTTGGTTTTGTCACCGGGCATCATGGTACGAACATGCATACGGCCGGACCCAAAGTACAATTAATCCCACCAAAAAAACAAAGAAAGTTGATATTGTGAAGGATACGTAGCGTAGCATTGTTTTGCTTGCCAAAAACGTATATGGCCCAGCCTTTGGTCCCCCCAAAAATGTTATTTTATTGGCTGTATTTGTGGTCAGTAAAAATATATTCAAACGATAAAAATATGTCTGGTGAATAC